GTGGTCACAAGTCTGTGTGTACCATGAAAATTTAGTGACCACTGTTCCAAGGTGATATGACAATGAGCAACTCAGCTCTGTTTAGAATTTGTGTTTTCAATATGCTGGGGATTTCAGGGCAGGGTTGAGAAAACAAAAGATATATCTGGAGATATGGAGAGTTTTGCAGCTTCTCCTGATTCTGATATTCATTGGGTAACCTCTCTTAAATTTACTTAAAGTAATTTTAAGAATTTCAAATCCATATTCACTTATAAACACAAAAGTATATTACAAAGAAATCTTTATTTTTTTAAAACTATTTTTTCCTTGAACTTAAGACTATATTTATTTTAAGACCTATAATTTATTTAATAACAGGCTTAGGGGGAAAATGTTACAATGAAAATATACATAGATTCTAAGGTGCCTTTTGATTTCAGAATTATTGAAGTGTAAAACAATCAGGTTTTTAAAATCAAGGAAGTATGGTTTCATTGAAAACAGATAATTATACTTTTTATTTTTAATCTTGAAATACATAATAATTCACATGTTACTGTTCATTCATTTGTGGTTTGGTTTTCTTTGACCTACCTAGCCTCTGGAATATATGTCACTATAATTTCTCCAGGTCTTAAGAAGTCATTTTCAAAGCCAAAAAAAAAAGTCATTTTTTTCTATTTTGCAAGGAACTTGTCATATGAAAAAGTCAAAAATGGTATGTTGCTTCCAAATTTAAGACTAGATTTGGTAAGACAAATTTGCACAGTGGCCAAAGTATGGTTTGAGACCTCTGGCAAGAGAATAAGGTTTTCATTACATTAGGATGCAGAGAGAAATTTGCAGGTACCGATACTGAACTTTTAGGAAACTTTTTAGAAAGTTAGGAACCACTGAAGAGGAAGGTTATCATTCAAGAAAGCTATTTTAGTTAAGTAATAGGCAACAAGAGATCTGAGAGGGGTAGGAGGAGGAAGAGAAGAAAATTGTCATTCCTTCAGGATTTGCCCTCTGTGATTGTCATTTTTGAGGCATGTTTTGCAAGTCAAATAAGCAAGGACCATTTTTCACACAGTTATCTGTGATTTTTGAATACAGATCAAATGTCTTTAGAACAATTGAAAAAAGGCTCTGCTTATAAAGAGAAGATTTAATGGGGAAACATTGGGGTGTCTTCACTAAAATTTATTTGGGTTCCAATTTGAAGGGATCTCAGCTATTTTAGTTATGCAGAAAAGGAATGTGCCACAGTGAAGATTTGCAACTTATCTTTTACATTGATTCATTAGGAAAACATATATATATATATATATATATATATATATATATATATATGTTTCACTTTTGTTGACTGATTTTTGTATTGTCATTACTCAAGATGGGCTTCTTGTACTGAAAATAAATTGTCTAGAGATTAATTATGACATGAATTGGGAGCCAATTCTAATTCAGCTTCATGGAAGTATTGTTTTTACTTTGTTTTAATTTTTGTTTGTTTTTGGTTGAGTTGGGGGCAGGATATTAGAAAAGATGAAATTGTGGAATTGATCATGGCTTGATCATAAAGGGCCTTTTGTCCTCTGCTAAGGCACTTAGACCTAACCCAAAGGCAAACGGGAACCATGCAGGGTTTTCATTAGACAAGCATCATGAAGAACGTTCATGATGCAAAGATTTGCTGTGATTGTGACACTAAATTGGAATTAGCAGGAAAACAGTTCAGGAGACTTTTGCAGTAATTCAAGAAAAAGTTAGTGGTAAGTGGAAGGAGGTGATAGGTAGTGGTGGATTGAAGACCTGTGGCAGTGCAGCAAGGAAGCCACTTTGTTTATCCATGTGAGTGCTGAGAAGGGAATGGAGGAGTCAGGAATGTCTCCCAGATTTCCTGTTTTGGCAACTGGATAGAAACCTATATTGCTCATTGAAGTAGGGAACACAGGAAAAAGAGGAGCAGGCATTTTATGGTGTAAGATGGGGAGTTCGGTTTTGGGTTCGTCACTCTTGGGGAGCCCATGAAATAATACCCATGTGAGTAGGTACACTAGACAGTCGGAAATCTGGGACAGGAGCTCCAGGGTTGAATCCCAGTTTGAGGAATAGATTTTGGATTTGTGCGTGCAGTGAAGATACATGAAACCATGGGAGTGTGTGTGATCAGCCGTAAAGAGTATTATTAATAGAATGAGAGGTGAATAGTCTGTGGTGGGCAGAACTCTGGAGAACCCTGACATTCAAGAAAAGGGAGAAGAAGACCCCTGCAAGAAAGCAATGAGTAGCTAGAGGAGAAAGGGAGCAGCTCTAATATTTTGTTAAAAAAGCCAAAACAAGAAGGCATCTCAAGAGGGAGGGGGTGGGCTGGTAGAGTTCAATTAAGTAAGGACTGAAAAGGGTAGAGAGGATTTAGCAGCACGGAAGTCAGTGGAGTTCACAGTTATATACAGTTTTTCTGGAGTAGTGGGTATAGATGTTAATAGGAGGAGAAAGTAGAACAAATGGTAAGTTTAAGTGATTTTTTTTCTAAATCAATTATGGGAATTTATACAATACATAAAAATACCTTAGCCTAATAGTTGTTTTTTAAATTGAGATGAAAGTCATATAAGATTACCTATTTTAAAGTGAACAATTCATGGTGTTTAGAACATTCACAATGTTGTGCAACCACCTCTTCCATCTAGTTCCAGAACATTTTCATCACACTGAAAGGAAACCCAATACTCATTAAGCAGTGGCTCCCGACTCTCCCTTCCCTCCAGCCCCAGCAACTACCAATCTGTGTTCTGTGGATTTCTTCTTCTGGATATTTTACATAAATTGAATAATATGTGACCTTTTGTGTCTGCTTTCTTTCACGTACCATGTTTTCAAGGTTCATCCATGTAGCATGTACCAGTACTTCATTTTCATGGTTGAATAATATTTCATTGTAGCTATATGCCCTAATTTGTTCATCCATTCATCTGTTGATGGGAATTTGGGCTATTTCTATCTTTTTTTGGCTGTTGTGAATAGTGCTCTGTGAACATGCATGTATATGTTTGAGTACGTTTTTCAATTTCTTTGGGTATATAGGTTGAGCATCCTTAAATCGAAAATTAGAAATCCCAAATGTTCCAAAATCTGAAACTTTTTGGACACCAACAGGATGCTCAAAGTTGATGCTCAAAGTAAATGCTCATCAGAGCATTTTGCGTATTTGGATTTGGGATGCTCAATCAGTACATATATGCAAATATTCTGAAATCTGAAAAAATCCAAAGTCGTAAACACTTCTAGTCCCAAGCATTTCAGATAAGAGATACTCAACTTTTACATTAAGAAGTGGAATTGATGGAACCTAACATAGTTTTTCAAAACTATGCTTTTCTGTAATACTAATTGAGAATCCACAGGAAGCATTTTTTTTTTTTTTTTTTTGAGACAGTGTCTCACTCTGTCACCCAGGCTGGAGTGCAATGGCATGATCATGACTCACTGCAGCATTGAACTCCTGGGCTTAAGCGATCCTCCTGCCTCAGCCTTCTGAGTATCTGGGACTACAGATGTAAAATACTGTTCTGGCTAATTTTTAAACTTTTTTTGGAGACAGAGTTCTTGCTATGTTGCCCACGCTGGTCTCAAACTCCTGGACTCAAGCGATCGCCCTGCTTTAGACTCCCAAAGTGCTGGGATTATAGGCGTGAGGCATGGCGCCTGGCCAGCATTGTGCATTGTACAAAAAGTTAACTTACACAGTCTGTGTTCTTTGTATACTTTATATTCTCTTTGAGATAGAGTTGGTGAAACTATCATCCAATAATTAAGTAGCCCATCAAAAGATATATATCAACATGTATTTACTCAGTGTATACACATATGCATATATAATTCTTAAAGAAGAAAGTACCCAGTAGAATTGAGTTTTGAGTCTTATAAAAAGAAATCATTTCAGGTAAAGAATTTGGTTAGATTAAAATATGTAGGAAACTGAAGATGGGCATAGGGTTGGATGTCTCATGGTTTATTTTTTTCTGAAGAAAATAATACAAGTTGCACTCTAGTTGGCAATAAGAGAAGGAACAGAATGAAGATGTGAACTAAAAGCACCCATGGTATTAATTTAATAGCTAGCCAACTTTTAAAATTAAGATTGTATTTTCAAAATCAATTTCTACTTATCTCCTGATAACCACTGACTCATTTATGTTTAATCTTGTGGATTGTATTTCTCTACTCACCGACACCAATGTAGATGAAAGGAAATTTGAGTTCTATCTGTAACAAACAATCCAGCTTCCCTGTGGCTCAGTTAAACTTTATTCATAAAATATAAATTAACAAATTCTTAGAGAGATGGGACAATGATTATATTTTCTATAATATTTTTGATGATATAAAGTGACATGTATGTTATGTCTTCAAAAGCATCATTTTCTTCTGCAGTCTTTCCTATGTTGAAAGAACTCCTAGGAATCAGTTATGGGACTGAGATTCTGCAAAGCAGTAGCTCTATGGCTGAATCCCCAAGGCACTGCCTATAGATTTGGGAGAAGAAATAATGTTTGTTGAGTGTCTGTTAAGTGTTTTATTTATCTGACCTCACTTAAGTCATAATGATCAGTAAGTGGTAGATCCATGATGGGAATGGGGTTTGGCTACCTCCAAAGTCAGGGCTCTGTCCCCCACATCAAGAACACTAATTGGGTTTCATTGGCTGAGGATTCCAATGGGTTAGCTGTATTTTCCATAGACGGGAAGTGGGTGGGGGCAGGTCCCATGCCTGCCATTGTTGTCCATCCCTAAGCTCTGTCATGTCAATTCTCATGGAAAGATCTGGGTGCCTTGTCAGGAGAATTTTAATTTATCTCATAAACTGCATATCTGGGACAAGTCCATAGTTAATTCATACTGATTGAGGGAGGTGTCTTTTGATTCTTCCTCATTTCACTTTTACCATCTCTATTCCATATATATCATCCAACCAACTAAACTCTAGGATTGATGCACTTATTTGTATTTGTGGTATGTATTTGTTTCAGGCAGAGAAAGCTGATGGATTTGTCAACCTGCCTGATTTCACTGTTGAAAGAGCATCTGAATGCAAGAAAAAACAGTAAGTTGTCTCTCATCCTTCGCAAAACTCTGAGCTGTGATAATATCTCTTCATAATGTTCATCAAGTGATGTGGTGATTTAGAAGTGAGGGAAGGAAACACTCAAATGTCTGAGAGTTTTGAGCATTATGGGTTGGCACCCTAAATAGTAATGGAAACATTTAACCTCTCATTTTCTGGAATTTCATTTTGTGAAGCAGATGGGTTTCAAAACCCCCATGAAGCCTTGGCATGGAATGTTGTTTATGACTGTATCTGTGATGGAATATAAAACAAGCTCCCGTCCAGGACTGGCAAGGAGGTCAGATGTCAATTTTTTGTCCTTGCAAAGAGAAGAACCAATAGTTAGATAAGACTCGCCAGAGTTGCAGATATGATAGCAAGACAGTTTCTCTTTCTTAGCTCAGGGAGCTGTCAGAGCATGCATGGAATTGAATTCTCTGAGATGTCTTAAGCTTGGGGATTATACCTCTGTATAGTTTAAATCTGTCCAAAAGATTTGAGAACTGACAGGGACCAAAGAAGTTGCCAGGCCATGGTCCCTGTTTGAGAAAGAGACAGCCTGGAGAGTCTGTGACCTGCCTAGAGCTCACGGGAGAGCTGGCTCTAAACCCAAGTGTCCACACTCCTAGTCGAGTGCTTTTCCCAGGATAGCATTGCGTTGTCTCTTGCATATATGTCCTCCTTCACCTTTTTCTTATTATTTCTTCTACCTTTGACATCTTTTCCAGTCTTATCAGAAAGGGGCATTTCCTTATTGTCCTATGTTACTAGTTGCAGCAATTGATTAGTTGTTTTCTTCTAAGAAAATTAATAAACTGGTGTCAGCTTTAAGTCTTTGCCTCTCTGCAGTTGCACATCTCCAGTGACACACAGGCAGTGTTTATCGTTGTGGTTTTTGACTGGTTACTTATAAAAACCCTGGTCTGTGCTACAGGACTTCCGGTCTAAATGGTGAAATGGAAGCACTTTATTGCTTGTTATCTTTAATGTTTTATACTTTTCTTTTCAACTAAAACTGGCCCAGTATTTTTCCTTTACTAACAAAGGGTTCCTTGGATAAGGTTTCTGATGTGTTATTACAATGTGGAAGTTCCATACCTGATTGTTATTCTATAAATAAAATTCTTATGTATAGTTGGTTGAATTTGAATAAATACTTTGCTTGATGGAGTTGACCTGAATATTTTGAAGTGAAACCTTTATCAGTCTAAATTTTAATTTATTGCATCTTTATAGCAAACCAGTTAGCAAGTGAAAAGGAAAGGATGTGCCTCTGTTTTCAGTGGACACTAGTGAGCAGCTAAGTGTCCTGTTCTAGATGACCTGACATAATAAATTAACCTTCAGCTCCCTATGTGAAGTAGGGACTAGACAATAGGTATTCAATGTGACTAAATCAATTTTTTATAAATTGACAAAGCAGATGAACTTATAATGCCTATATTTGACTTTCAGACCCACTGGTGACTACAAACACTAATTTCTTATATGTTTGTGCCTTTCCCCCTTTTAGTGCTTTTAAGATCAGCCATCCACAGATCAAGACCTTTTATTTTGCAGCTGAGAACACGCAGGAAATGAATGTGTAAGTAGAGGAAATTGGTAAATCCAACTCTCATGGGAATATATTACTTTGATCAGGTATTGGAATATTAAGCATGTGTTCTTATCAATTATTCTTTTATTTATTTCTGTTACTTTAAGGATTAATTTCTTTAGAAGTTATAAGATCTTCTTGCTTTTTTCTCTACTAGTAGTTGGAAGCATTTTGGAGAACTATGCAGATCAAAATGGCTATTTTAGGAAGAGGTTGTATGATTCTTCTGAGAGAACCCCTGAGTTGAGAAAGAAATAGAAGACATAAGAAAATATGAAAATGAGACTTGCCAGCACAAAGAGAAAGATTTGAAAGGATTACATAACTGATTTCTCAGCTTTCTACATACAGAATCTTGCCACAGCATTTAACATGTGCTGTGTGATTATCGTGATGATTCATGTGTTTATCTCTTCTCGGGGGACCCTCCTGAACATTTTGCAAAATGTCCATGCTCAGAGTGTGTCTAACTTAAAGTTTTAGATGCCTAGCTCCATTTCTGGTTTGCTTTGCTTAAATAAGTGGGCTGTATGTGTGGAATGCTACCAGCCCTACACGGTCCCCTACTGCTTTAGATTCAGATGTGATCACAATGGCTGTTGCTTGAATCAGGCCAAATTTAAGGTGCTGAGCTGAGGCATCAGAAAGCATTCTTTCTAAGCATTAAGTTAGCCCTGTTCTCACAATTCTTAGTGTCTCTTATTACTTTCCCATCAGCAGTTGAAAATGTTTATGGAACACCTACCATGTGCCCATTGCAGCAGACACTGGGCAATAGCAATTGAAAACCCACACATAGTCACTCTATTCATAGGGTTTATGCTTAGTCTATTTTATTTATTCATAATGATTTTCTTACCTATACACCCTGTATAATTTTTCTTTGCCCTCTTGCTCTAGAAAATTAAAGCAGCTACCCTTTTGCCCTAGAAACAAAATACAGCGGCTTTTCACCAAATACGCAGACGCACGCACACACACACACACACGCACACACACTTCCTACAGGACATCCGGGCAGCAGCCCTGTCCAGCTAGAAGCACTGCCATCTGCCCCCTGCACTCACCTCCCTACCACAGCCCTTCAGATGAGGGCAGAATGACTTTGTTCCAGAAATTTGGGAAGCCCTGTGTTAGAAATAACAAGGCAAGGACTTGACAATTGAGTCTTCCAAACAAGTCATTGATTTGATTGGACAAATAGAGAAATTGTTTCTACCCTCTTTCTGATTTTAGCTTTTGTCCCTTGGCTTTCCTAAAAATCTGAGAAAAATAAGAGCAGGTACTCAAGAAGGGAGGATTCTAAAATCTTCACAGTTCAAGCTCTTGACTTAGCTTTTTAATCTGCATTGGAGGAGCAAGTCCCCGCTGCGTAAGTGGCACGTGGAAGGAATAAGGTCTTGTCCGCCGGTCCTTGGAGCCCTGTGATAGCCAAGCAGTCAGTTAGTCCCGAGCAGACCATTCTGGTCTTTAATGGCGGTGAAGCAGTGCTGCCCGCCACCCCTTCCCTAGTGTCCCCTGCCATCCCTGGCTTTTTCTCTCTAAAAGTGCCTTGTGTCACTGGCTTTCTTCCCCGATCACATCCTTCCCATTCGTCCTGTGGCTGATTCACTCAAAGTAGTCCTCTCTCCAGCAAGAGGTGAGTGAGACCGTGTACCAGAAAAACAATTGTTTCTAAGCATTAGTGCATTTCTCCTCCTACACAATAAAATACATTTTTAAACCAATAAAACCATGAGACCACTCCATGGTCATCTGAATCTACTGTACTTCAGGCACATTATCTCTCTAAATCACACGCCAGAGTTTATTTAGCTTCCCTTCCTCACTCCTCAGTGTTTGTCTACATTTCCAGTCCATTTAGCTTCGGCTCTGTGTTTTCCCGTTGCAGATGCCTGTCGAATGGCAGAGGTTGCATGGTAGAGTGGCATGAGATTAGCATAGATATGATATATATAACACCCTATCCTGTTGGTGGTTAATCAAAACCTTTCACAGCTATCAAAACCAAGATCTAACTGCCTCTCTATGCTGTGAAGACCAGTTAGTCTTACTTGAAATTCTGTTAGTGGTTATCTTTCCAGCATACAAACCAGATGTAAATTGAAATTTGAACTTGAGGTATTTTAACCCTGTGTTTTTGGATCTCTCAGTGACCTTTATACTTTAAAAATGCCCATCTGACCACTCATAGGTAAATGGTTCATTTTATCTGTGCCTGAAATGTATCATAACTCATTATATTATAAGATCATCATTGAGTTTTATTATTCCAAAGATGACTTTTTCTAATAGTCAACAGTGAAATTTCTGCCTCATCCCACAAGATAATGCAGATGATATTTAGAGATTTATTTTGCAATAACACCTGAAGAGCTTCCTTTCTTATTGGTGCAGCTTGTTGGAGGCAGTCCTGGGTATTACCAAGTGAGATGCAGGGGTGTAGGAGAGTGAGGGTTGGCATTTGCCGTGATGAGTCCTGTTTTAGAAGTTCCCCTCCTTGGGTAACTGCGTTTCTGGATGGTGATATTCCTCCCAGGGACGATGAAGGGAAAGGTAATTAAGTTTAATAGAAACTCCACATGTTCTGCAGTGATTCTCAATTTAAAAGTACAGGGGTAAGTAATTAAGGGTAATGAAAGAGTTGGTTTCTAAGCAGAGACGGTGGCTACCTATTTCAGACAGTGTTTGTGAAAGAAAAACACTCTTGTTTTGTACATTGATTTCTTAACACTTGTTCTCCTCCAAAACACGCATATTCACATCAAGTTAAAATACAACAAACTCCCAGGAAACATCTGTCGTCTTCTTTTATGTAAATATAAGTCCTTTTGTGCATCTATCTATTTAGCCACAAATAGAAGTTTTTCTACTGCCATAATTTTTAAAAAATGTTCTTAGCAAAAAAGGTACTTCAAGCCAGTGTCACTGTGTCCTAGAAATAAAACAAACAAGATTCTAAACAATCACCAGGTTTTCACAAATAACTACTGGTTTCAATGAAAAGGACATGAGTTTTGGGTAAAGGCTGAGAGGAATCTTTTCTTTATTGTCAATACTCTTCCATTTTTCTGTTTTCCCATGTTCTGAAATGAAGCTTAGAAATGACCTTTCTTGTTTCAGACACTCTCAATTCTAAACTACTTAAAAAAATTTTTTTTTCCTATTTCACTTTTAGGTGCTTTCTTTGGGGGGGGGATCAGCTTATACAATTAGGAAATCAGATGTAAGCTAAAAATTGTTATGGTATTTAAAAAAGCGAACCAATAAATTTATTGTGTTTTGCCTACTTTTAAATGTTTATTTTAGTTAAGTAATTCATAAAACATATTCTTATAAAAAATATCAACACAGAAGTAGAAAAAAGTGAAAAATTTCTCATACCCCTGCCTTAACTTTCCAATTCAACTAATCTTTCCAGGGTTAACCACTTTTAACAGTTAGATATGTAACAATTTTCTCTGTATACCAATTCTTACACATACACAAATATATATTAATAGTTTTTAAAGTACATTAGATCAGACTAAACATATTGTTCTGTACTTGCTCTTTTCCAATTAACAGGATGTTAGGATTTTTCCAGAACCCTCCTCCCCATTTTAGCCTTTTGATTAGCTTTGTTGTAACATAGTATTTATTGATAGAATCAATGTTATACGTTATTTATCTATTTTACTATTAATGGACAATTATTGAGACAATTACTATTAATGGACAATTATTGAGACAATTATATTGTCTCAATGGACTTTTTTTTTTTTGCCGTTACAAGCCTTGTTGGCAATTAACATTCTTCCATATTTATTTGTATACACTAAAGTGTGTTTGTGTAGGATCAATATTTATAATTGGAATTGTTGGGTGAAGGGGATAGATGTTTATATTTTGAATAATATTATCATATTGCCTGCTCAAAATCAGCTGTGTCAATTTTCACAGTCAACAAAGGATAAGCATGTTCATTTTTTCATTTTCTCTTAAAACTAGAAATCAATATTTTTAATTTTTTCTACGCAGTGTTGAAAATATTTTTCTGTGTTTGAATATTCATTCCCTAAAATACTATCGAGACTGAGAATTATTTTCATATATTGTTTATCCATTTGCAGTTTTCTTATAATGTTTTGTCCCTTTATTTTGTCTATTATTCAACTGAGACTTGATAAATATCTCTGGGTTCCTATGGCATAATCTGGGCTTTTTATTGGTCCAATGTTAAGTGGCCACTAGATAGCTTGTGTTTATTGTGATGCTGAAGGGAAATGCTTAAAGGAGGCTAGAGCTCATCTTCCATCTTTAGAAGCTCCTATTCTGTTTATTTTTAAAAATCAAATTTATTATAAATTTCCTGTTAAAAAATAAGGGATATGGCAAGACCATGGCAGATTGAGGATTGGATAAGGGTTCCTAATCAGTTGGCAATTGTAAACATGGGAATGTGAGATATTTTTGTCCTGGTGTAAGTGTGCAGACTGAATTGTTCATGAGGTATTACAGGACTAGAATAGATAAAAAGTATAAATGAACTGATAAATGTATAGCATTGTTATTATAATTTTGTCAGTATTGGTTGACTTAGGCCATTGTTGAATGCTCTGGTTTCTCAAAAAAAAATGAATATAATACAATATGGAGTATTTTAAAGAATACAGAAAACTGGAAAGAAGTGGGAAATAAATCATCTAGATTTTCACTGTCTCAAAATAATGTTTTCTGTGTAACTGTAAGATTATATAGTTAGAAATATATGAAATAGACATACTTTGTGTTCTATCTTTTAAAAATTTGTGTTTTAAAATATGTTCCTAACTAAACCCTTGAGAAGGAACTACAGTAATCTGAAATCATAAGCCAAGTTTGAGTTCCTTAAGGCATGTCTAGTTCTATTTTTGTTGTTGATGTTTAATTGGAATTCATTGTCAATAAAATGATAAATAGGGCATTATTGATTTTAACCTTATGTAAAATTCTTCAAGGAATTGAAATTTCCTTTAGTTTAGGAATATCTGTCAAATTCTCACCAGATAATTTACTGACTGATGTAAAAATATTCCTGGGTTTTAACTTTTTCCTAAAACAGACATTAAGAACTATAGAGATAACACCCAGTAAATTCAATGGCCAAGTTACTAAATACAATGATAAAAGATTTGATGGTTGCTAAAGATTTCAAATGCACAATTACAGAAGAAGATATATGTGTTTGTATATTTAGAATATCTAATTTAGCTACCCACATGAACCAACAGGATGATGGGCCACCTCACTTCTCGTCTCATAAGGATACTTCTGTAAATAAAGTATTATGAAACCAAAGGCCTTAGGTTTCAATGCCAAAACCCTATGCTGTTTCTGGAAATGTTCAGGCTGGCAGTAGAATTATGACTTCATTTCAGAACAAAATCTGGCACAGTATCCTCCTCCAAGTTCTAGGGGGAAGGTGAATGGGTAGTGAACCAATGTCTTTGGTCAAACGTTTACTTTCTATTTGAATTTTAGGTGGCTAAATAAACTTGGATTAGCTGTAATCCATCAAGAATCCACTACAAAGGATGAAGGTATGTTCTGTTTTAAGTTTCTGAAAATTCAGCAGGAATATTAGAATAAGTTGAAATAGGATAAAAGAGACAAAGTCAGGTTCTATGTATAGCCTGATCCTGATGAAGCATACTTTGGTATTTAAAATGATATGAAAATATGTGGAGACAGACATATTCACACAAATTCACCAACATGAAGCAGAGCTTGCCACGCTGGCTATGAATGCTTTTTCACACTTCACCCACACTTGTGCAGCTGTGGGCTTCACTGGCTTCTCCGTCGCCAATGCAAATGTTCGATTGCCCCAGTTGCTGAATTCTTACTCATAGACACCATCTCGTCGTGATCTGGTCAGATGACTGTCATCCCACTATTTCCTGATAGTTTGATATTTCCGCCAGGTGTATGTTGAGTCTGAGACTGTGCTAGGAACCTGAAGGTCAGATTGGAACACAGGCTTTATTTTCAGCTCAGTCTGTAGTTTTCAGGGTTCAAAATCTCGTAGAGTCTAATTCTCCGTAATGACGCAATTCCTCCTTAGTGCTGAGAAGAGGCAGGGCCTTAGGTCCCAGGGCCACAGAGCTGATAGTATGTCTGAAATTCTCAGGCCACATAAGACTCGAGAATTGGAAGTGGAGAGTTATATCTTTTGATAACAAAATTATAAAATCTTAGATTTAGAAATGAAAAAGTAGCAACGTGATTTAAAACATTAAAGGAGTACAATACAATACCATGAATTAAATGTCCTAACCATCTTCTTGGTCTTCTTTTCCATAAAATAAGCAGCTATTGCATATTTATAGATTGTAAGGGGGTGAACAACTACACACAAGACTTTTCCTTGTCCTGGCATTTAAGGCCTTCCGTCACGTGTCCTCAGCGACCTTTCAGCTTTGCTTTCTACGGTAGCCCGTAGGGCTCTCCACACGCTTGGCTTGGCCTCCTCCCTCACCCTGGTACTCCCTTCACTCTCTGTGCACCGTTGGTGGTTGAGTTCTCCTGCCAGTTTCAGCTCATTAGGATTCCTGTGATTAAAATTAATCACTACTGATTTTATATTCTTAGTATATGATTCACACCTTTTTTGAGGAATTATTTCATTTTCCCTGAGATGTGGTTGGTCCTCTTTCTGCATGCTGAAAGTATTTGATGGCAGAAGCCCTGGGGTGGCCAATTATTTCCCCAGGATGTCATTCCCTTGCTCCAGGTAGTTCACCGGATGTGGACTTTCTGAAGTGGCTCTCAATTGCAGCAGTTGGATGGATAAAAAACCTCTGCTCATGCATTATGGAATAAGTGATGGCAGCATGGAAACATTAAGCATTTTCATTTTTGTTATAGAATGTTACAGTGAAAGTGAACAGGAAGATCCTGAAATAGCTGCGGAGACACCACCCCCTCCTTACTCATCCCAGACTCAGTCTCCTTCCCTATGTGCCGAGGTAAGTTGTCTGCTGGTGTGTGATCCAATGTGCGGACATCATTCCTTCCAGCTGGGCAGAAACTACCTTGGCCAATACATTTTTAGAATAGGCTACATTAAGGTACCTGCCAAAGAGCAAGTGCAATTTTCAGGGTGCTGATTTTGCGCCTTCTCCATAGCAACCCACTAGTGTGACAAGCTCGGTCCGCCCATGTATGACCCACAGACAGATGCTCAGAGGATGCAGAGGGGAGTGCAAAGGGCTTCTAAGTGATAGGATGATGCCTGCAAAGGTTTATTTTATAATGTTTGTGCTCTACTTGTTCTCTGAAAGAATTTAAGTGCCTTGTCTAGATGAGTGTACTATAATAATACAAAATAAATTCAAAGAAGATGGAAAAAAAAACCCAGTATAGAGAAAAGTAGAGTGAGAAAGATAGCAGGAAGCCAGGAGTGAGGTCAGTGCATTAAAATCATAGATAGAATGATTTCTATATTCACTAGAGAGGAGTCCAAATTTGGTTCTCAGCTTTGGAAGCCCCTAAAGTAAGTTCATATTATTAATGGATATTGAGACCATGCGGAGTTAATGCTTCATATTTGGATGCATTTAGTGTTACAGTGACGGTCCCTAGAAAGGGTCCACCAGAGATCACTGGGGAAGTTGATTTACGGTTTTTACACCTGCCATGTAATAGGACTTATGTAGGTGCTTTAAATAGATAATCATGTAATCCCCCAAATAGCCCTGAGAAGTAGCATTGTTTAATTTGCATTTTATTGATTGCTAATAAGACCAACCATCTTTCATGTTTATTAGCCATTTGGATTTCTTTTCTGCAAAGTGTCTGTTAAGTCTTTCATACATTTTTAGCTCTCTCTTCCTCCTCCTCTCCTCCTCCTCTTCCTCCTCCTTCTCTTCGTCTTGATTTATATAGTTTCTTAATTTATTATTCTATGTATTAGTCCTTCATCAGCTAAAAGTGAGCTAATCTCACTTTTTATTTTTTTAAACTCTGTTTCATGATTTCTCTTTCTAAACAGATGTTCTTGATTTTAATGTGTCATATTTATCCATCACTTCCATTGCAGTTAGTGCCTTTTTTCCTGGTTTAAAAAGCTGTTTTCTATTCCCAGATCAAGAGGAAGTAGATATAACTGTCTTCCTTTTATGGTTGAAGAAACTGAGGTTCAGAAATGTTGAATGACATGGCCAAACACTCGGTGAACACAGTGCCCGAGTTGGGAATCCCATGCTGTCCAGCCTTATAGGACATGTCCTTTCCACCAGACCATGACACTTGTCCATCCATAGACCCAAATGAAGACAGGTTCTGACAGGTTACACTAATTCATTCACTTCCTACACCTCTTCTGCCAGATTTTCCATTCTGTTTGATAATGTTTTCATCTTTATGTTTCATCAGTTTCCTTTTAAAGTATCAAATTGATTATTTAAATAATGACCTTTACTGTTTTTTCACACTTTCAGTGGAGAATTTTGGTTACTTTTCTAATTTATTTGAGTAACAGCCAAGATAAGAAATAAATATTTGTTGAATGAATGTTGTTAAAATCTCTGTTAAATATGATTAGCCTAAATTAAGCAAGATATAAATAAAATTCAACTTTGAATATGGTAAAATTTAGACCAATTTTTGAACTTATGATATATTCCTTGTTAATATATACATAGCCTTTTCCTAATGTGATCTTTCTCCTCTTTGAAAATCAGTTTTTGAATTTATGAAAAGCTTTTATTTTCTTTGTATCACTCAAAATTATTGCTATCTCTAGACCTTAAAGTATCTCCCAGGTTTCAACAACTTTCTTGTTGCATTACCCTTTATTGCTCTTAAAAATGTCATCAACTTTGTACTGAATAGGTCTCCAGCATATGTTCCTTGTGGTTGGTTTAATAGAGAATCACATATTTTTGTTCAGGTTCTCTTTGTCTCTTTCTGTGTCTGTTTCTTTCTCTCTGCTTCTGCTTCTGTCTCTCTCTCTCTCCTGTTTTAACCTGTAACATGCAGATATTTGGTAGTTCCTGTCTCCATCGCTTCCTCAAATTCCTTCTTCCTCCCCTACTGCCCATCAATAAAACTCTTTTGTGGTTTACTTTAGTTGTAAATATTGGGATTTTCAGTTTTATAATGGCAAACTAGGATCGCAGTTTCCTAAGGGCATTGTCAGGCATCTAGAACTCTACTTGATGAAAGTAAAAGCAACCAAATTGTCTTCTTGGATGAAGGTTCACGCCTCAGGTGCAGTGACAGTGACAGTCTAACCTTATACACAGCAGAAACCCAGGGAATGCTTGTTTTCAGGCAAATAAATGAAAGAGGCTTATGAGACCAGCAAGTTAGGTCACTGAACTCAGAAGAATCTTTACATTTTCTGAATCATCAATCAAAGTTCTTTTACTTCTCAAAAGTTCTAAGCTTGAGCATCTTTTGGCAAGGTGCTAATCCGGACATTTTCTAAAGAAATATATTGGAAATAGTAAGATAAATGTTGAATAGCTAGAGTTTTTTTTTTTTTTTTTTCCTTAGCAACAGGATATGTTCCTCCTGCTCACACATGCCCCAGGCAGATTTTGTTTTTGTTTTCTCCTGTTTCTGAAAAACAGACATGCAAGGCACTTGGTTAAAATATTTAGGCTTTTTATTTAACCAAATGAAAATTAAAAAAAAAATCACAGTAACTTTTATTGAGAACATGAATTATGTTATTGCTTGGCTCAAAATGGTATAGGCCAGCCATGACTTAGATACGTGAGCCTGTGGGTAAAAATAATTTTTTTCCCAAGTTCTTGCTTTAAAAAAATATTTTGGGGAATGAACTTTCATTGTCTGATGACAAACTCAACAGTATATAAAAATAGTATTCAGGAAAACTATCACAAAAATTTTAAAATCTTGAAAAAAATTCATTCAATGTCCAATTACTCTAATTTTTGTGGAATAAAGATAAGCAGTGGAACTTCAGCAGCAGCCCAGTTTGGACTCTGCTTCTAATGGGCTGAACCACCTTCCACAAGATAAGAAAGAACACATCAGGATCTGCCCTGAGTGAAGAACTTTTTTTTTTTTTACTCTTTCTTCTTTGGAAGGCTTTATTTGCAATATTGATTGCGAAGTGGGAAGGACATCCATTTATTCTTAAAGAAGTTAGAAATGGCCAGCACATGGTGGCTCACACCTATAATCTTAGCACTTTGGGAGGCTGAGGTAGGAGTATTGCTTGAGCTCAGCAGTTCAAGAACAGCCTGAGCAAGAGAGAGACCTCACTCAAAAAAAAAGAAAAAAAGAAAAATTAACCAGGTGTCGTGGTGTGCGCCTGTAGTTCCAGCTACTGCGGAGGCGGAGGAAGGAAGATCACTTGAGCCCAGGAGTCTGAGGTTACCGTGAGCTATGATGATGCCACTGCACTCTACACACAGTGACAGAGTGAGACACTGTCTTAAAAAAAAAGTTGCAAATGGGGAGTTTTTTGACAGAGCATTTCACGCAGAGTAAGAAAGTTGTGGAGGTCGTGGAGGAAATCCCAATAATCAGCCAAAGCAGGGTGGCTGTGCCACACCCCTCTTCTGCCCTCTGCTCCCACTGCCTAGTTGAGGCCCTCATTAGCCCTTGCCTGAGTTATTGAAATAGTAGTTATTTTTCTTTTCCTGTCTCTGTCTCTGTCTCTCTCTCTCTCCCTCCCTTCTTTAAAAAACCATCTCCAAATTAGTGTTTCTAAAGTGAAGTTCTGGTAATATTGATTCACCTGCATAAAACCTTCTGTTGAATCCTCATTGCTCATCAAATTAATTCCTGACTGTTTGGCTTGATATTTAAGGCCCTTGAACTTTCTTTAGACTGCTATTATGTCTTGTTGCTGATTTCACTTTTGCCATCAGCTGGAGAAACTGCCTATTTCCCCAAACTTTCCAGATTTTCCTGCTCTTACACCTGTAACTATAAGGGTTCTTCACTTGCAAAACCAGTTGCCTTCCATCCCAACCCCAATTTCACCTTTTAAATGTTTTTCCAGTCCTCTTTAACTGTGGCTTCCTTCATGACAGCTTTTGTAGTCCTCTATGTCAGGATAATTTTGCCCTCTTCTGAACTCTCTGAATTTCTGCAGAGCTTTGTTTTTTGATGCTTTTTTCATGTTGTTATCATAATCTGCCTTGGATTATAGATTTTGTGTATCTGGTTTATTTCTCTAATTAGTAATTTCTTAATGTCAGAAGCAGTGTCAAATATCTTTCTGTTTACCCACAACATTTTCAACTGTGCCTAGTACATATTTGAAAATAAATAAACATTTAATGGACAGATGGATGGGCTAGTGGGTGATTATTGGGATTTCCTCTACAACCTCCACAAATTTCTTGCTCTGCACATATTTCCCCATGTGCATGAGAAAAATACTACGTGTCTAGTGCTTTTGCAAGGCTTTGAGAAAGATGATTTCATTTGACTCTCACAAAAAATTCTGTATTAGAATTTTACAAATGAGGAAGCCAAGTTCCAGAGAAATAAACATAACCATCATAAGTAGCACTTACAAGCTATTTATGTTTTATTAAGAATATTCTTCCATGTTATAGCATTTACATCTCTTGGTAAATCTGAGTTCATCAGGCTGCTAATGTTTTTGTGTGTCTGCCATGTGCCAGGGATGGTTGCAGATATGAGGATGCTGAGCTGAACCAGACAGTGTCTCCTGCCTTGAGCATCTTTAAGTTCCAGGTTGAGGAAGAGGGACAATACATTTATAATTCAAACAAATTTCCCAAGTACTGCTAAATGCTATGAAGATGATAAAATAGGGCAATGTGCTAGGGGATGGCTGGGGGTGGGAGGTGGAGAGGATATTACTCTATCTACCCCTGTCAGGGAAGACCCTGCTGAGGGTCAGTTGCTGATACTTCAGTTGAGGTCTGAGTGATGGGAAGGAAGTAGTCAACCAAAAGCATGCACAGGGAGAGCCTTTCAAGCAGCGGGACCTGAAGATTGCTGAAGGGACAGAAACAAGGCCAGTGTGGCTGGAAGGGAGTGGATGAGTCAGGAAGAGGTGTAGCTGGAGGGGTCATTATGGGTCCATTGGGCCTTCTCAGCTCTAATGAAGACTATCGATATTTTTCTACTTGTGATAGACAGTTATTAGAGGATTTTCAGCAGAGGAATATTGTAATCTGTTTCATGTGTTAGAAATACTCTATATGTTGTTTGGAGGATGAACTGGGGCAGAGAGGGGAGGCAATGGTGGAGGCAGGAAGCCAGTAAAATAGGACTTTGAAGTAAAATAGGACCTCCTCCAGGGTCCCTGATACTGAAGATCAGAGTGATGAGTGGACTCAGCACCCAAGGTCATGCAGAAGGTCATTGACAGAGGAGGGAGTATGTGATATAAGTTCGTCTTGTTTTTAGAGTAATGCAAACATAATACTTCCTAGGGCTTAACAACAATGGACTGGCTTGTTTTTATTAATATGGCCAACAAAAAGGAAAGAAGCTGTGTACTTTACTTCCTTTCTTATCATTTGGTTTTATTTTGTTTAGTCTTAAGTTATGCCTGTATTTTCTTTTTTGTTTCCATACACTTTCAGTAATGGTACTTCAGATTTCTCTGCTGACTCACTTCTTCCTAATTATAGGCTTTTGGTGGCCATTTTAAACTTTCTCACCACGTCAAACTTCTGTTTTGAAAAGAGTTTTTTAAAAAAGGATTTTTAGAGCTAACATTTGAATTAAGCATCTTTAATAAAAAAAATACTATTTAGAAAATGGGAAAAATCAGTATTAATTTTTAATTTAATCTTATTATAGTCCCTTAATTAAAACTAAGATCTTTAAAATATATTTAATTTTCTCATCAAAAATAAAATCTTTAAAATCCAAATGTTCTGAAATGACTGAAACCACAAACAATTATTAATCTCTAATTAAATAAGATAATAATCTTATTTGAGATTGTGAGAACATTTTGTGAGACTATTTACATTTTAATTAGTACCAGTGATCCCTAGATCCTGGGATTAGGATAACTTATACACACCACATCAACTTTATGGAGAATTTCAGGAACTCCTCAGTAAGAGGCTGGACTACTCTGGGTGTTTTTCTTCATATAGCTGGATCTCTAGACCATTCTTTGTTGGCATTAATTTGTTACTATCTATGTTTCAGATACAGAGGCAAAGAAATGGAGGTGCAAAAATGATTAAAAACAGCCTGTTCTCAAATAGCACACCAAAAGAGATTAGACCAATCCATAATTACCATAGAAATTGACAAATAAAATAAAATGACATTCCACTTGGTATGCTAGCAGCAAGCCCCGGAGCACCAGGCAAAGTTTCCTAACTGGCCCTGGGGCTATCAGAGAAGGCTCTCTGGAGGACCTGGTGTTTGAGCTGACACACGAATGACAGGCTCGTCTTAGCCAAGCAGAGGTGGAGAAAAGAGGAGAGACTGTCACTCCTTTCTACCTTCATTTGATTTGCACTGGAGAGTTTTATGAGTATATTGCACAAATGGTTTACAGAGGCACTGAGCTTAGAGTTCTGTGCCTGACACTGGCTACTAGCAGCTACAGACTATTAGATATAACAGAGTATGCCTTGGCACTGCACTCTCTACAAAGCATGTTCCTGTATTGAATCCCCTGAAATGGAACTCCAGGTTCACTTTGATTTGCATTTTGTCAATCTTTCTTTCAATGAAAACTCCCCCTAACCTAATTATATATGTATTTTTTTTATTTCATTTTTCCTCCTCTCCAATTCTTCTCTTTCTTTCTTTCTCTTTTTAGTTTTGCTCACTCTTCTCCATTTTAAAATCAAATGTTTAAGTGTTACATGGTGCCTAGAGAAAAAGAAATTGAGAGCACTGGGTTTGAGTCATACCACAAACAGGAATATGCCTCACACATGTTGCTGATGCTGATTACCAGGTCTTTGCTCAATCCTTGAAGCAGAGTTCTGAGATTGAAAAAACCTTGCAGAAAGTCTTGCAGCAAATGTGTACGCAGTCTCTTGCTTAAACAGCCCCGTTTGCTATAATCAAATTAAAGTAGTAGCAGCAGGAGCTACAGGAAAAGCTCATGCTTGGTCTCTTTTCAAAAAAGGAAGCTGATCACATGGAAGCTGAGTTTTACTAAAATAGCTCACAATAGGGGAACGTGTCTGGACTGGGCCAGAATAGATGTTTTTGTTAATATTTATTTTGTAGATCCTGCTAATGAGTAAATGATTCCTGGTGTTTACTTGGGCAGTTTGGAGATTGTGCATTCCCTCGTCTAGATAACTAGACTTTTATTTAGTGAATTGCAGAACTTTGATCTCTTGGTTGTTAAATGGTCTGATTTAAGGTAACCAGTTTCCAAGGTACTTGACATGTTCCTGAATGGCAAATTTTCATGTCTCTGCCAATATGTTATTACTAGGATGACATATGTGATCAGCTAGCATCTTAACTAGACATTTTAATGTCATGTTACTTAAAAGTGGATTTATTGATTATTTGACAGTTCATGTCTAGTATGCATGCTGACTGAGCACACCTTGGGTAAATATTGGATTTTCCAATAAAAATTCAGAGCTTAGCACCTGCAAAATTCTTAAAGCCATGTTGATTTGGAACAAAGTCAACTATTCTGAGTTAGTTGCAATGATTCTGAGGGTTTTGGAGAGAAAGGATCCTACTTTGCTCTTTGGCTTCCTTTAACAATCTCCTTCCTGTTACTTCCTTAGAGTTTTGAATGCCTGAAATTGACAGGAATGTCCCATAGGACAGCAGTCCCCAACATTTTGGTACCAGAGACCAGTTTCATGGAAGGCAATTTTTCAATGGACCGGGGTGGGGATGAGGGGATGGCGAGTGATGGGGAGCAGTTGTAAATACAGATAAAGCTTTGCTCACTTGCCTGGTACTCACTTCCTGCTGTGCAGCCGGGTTCCTAACAGGCCACGGACTGGTACTGGTCCATGGCCTAGGGGTTGGGAACCGAAACCATAGGATGGTGTAATGAAACCAAACCATACAATGCCATGTCCGTCTTAGCTACCTTTGGAGATATAAGGTGACTCATAGAGCACTGGAGTCTAGATATTTGGATTTTATTGCCCAACAAAATTAAAAATGGAGGAACGACATAGAGTTGTTGAATCTTTATTTTGCTATGGAGGATATTATAAAAATAAAACTCCATAAAGACAGCTTTTATATGCTATGACTATTTTTGAAAAGAAAGTGTATATTTCAGCATCAAAATGTAACAAGGATAAAAGTTTCTTTCAACATCAAAATGTAACAAGGATAAAAAGTTTCAGAACAAATGTAGTCCTTTCCAAGAGCCTGTCCTTGCTGATGATGTTAGCTTAATGTTTTCTCTGGGTCCTGGTGAAAATGTTGCCAAGGATGTCAGGTGCCCTTGGAGTGTGTGTTAGAAACTGTTGTTAGAAGATTCTGTGCCCTCAACCTGCTTCTCATCATTTGTGGCACAGCTTTTGGGTTCTCTTTAATAAATTAAGAGGCTGAAAATGTATTCTTGTCTTCTTTGGTGAAACTTTATTAAAGTTTTTAAATTATTGAAGAGTGAATGAGCTAATATTCACCTAACCTGTGTAGTTATAAGGTGATGCTGTTATGTGCCGAGGAATATGTGAGCAATACTCAAGGTCTTACATACCTATGCTTTGCCCACATCTCTGAACTCCACTCAGGTAACATGATTTTGCTTCCTGTCTGGCTCTATCTTTGTCTTTCCTTCTCCCAATCACCTTTCTCAAGAGATTTTGCTCCATAAGTGTGAATTCAATGATAGATTACAAATTATTTTTTGTTCAAGGTATATTTTAATATTCCCCAAAGAGGCCTTTTAAGTTTCGGGAGAGCATTGAAGAACATGGTAAATCATGATATGGAGACTTTTCAGGTCCCAGAACAGTGACTTCAATATTGTACAAGTCAGTTTTAGAGAATGGTGTCCTCGTGAGTGTCAGACAGAAATAAATATCATACATTTGCTTTTTGACTCTTTTATCATTGGTTGCTTTTTGAAAGAACCCTGGGGCACCTCTATTGAAAATGAAAAGTAGAAATGATGGTTAAATCACGATTTCTTTTATTCCTTTTTGGTTCTATTTGTGAAAAATAGGCTGCACAGCGGGCATCTTCATCCTCACCCAAATTGAGTGAAACATCGTGTTCTTTGTCTTCCCTGGAAAACACAACGAAGACACCCAGCAGTTCTTCTTCCTCCTCCTGTAAAGAAAGACAGTCCTGGCTGGACATAGTTAACAGTTCATCTGCTGCTGAAGATTTGGGACAATCTATAACATTTGCTGTGCAGGTTCATTCACCTGTCCCCTCAGAGGCAAGCAGTCTCAAGGCCCTGGAAAACAGTTTTGTCACATCAGAAAGTGGATTTTTGAACTCTTTATCTAGCGATGATACTTCCTCCTTGAGTAGCAACCAAGACCATCTAACTGTCCCAGATAAACCTACTGGATCAAAGACGATGGACAGAGGTAAACCGAGAAATTATTTATTCTTCTTTAGAGAATATGTATTTGCATGCATATGGAACTCTGTTGTTAATTTGTAACAAGAATGGTTAAACCCATAAATGGTGATTCAATACTTAAGCAATCAAGGTGGAGGTTAAGCTCAGGGGCTGCTTTTGTAGAGGAGTTTGCACGTGGACAACTCTAGCTACCAGGCCACTAATTACTTGCTGTGTTACTAACCTAATGCTTTAGAACTATGACACATGTGAGCATAAAATAATGATACTTTTCCACCGAGCTGAGAAAAAAGCTTGCTTCTTTAAGCAAGGATTTGTTCTGTAAAATTTGGATTCAGTCAAAAGGCTGCACTTAAGGATCTAGAAAGAAATATGTGGACTTAAGTTAAGTGCAAGTTCCCCAGCCCTGCCCTATGCTCTGGAGCTTGTGGTAGTTAAACCAGGATTTTGTAGTCTGGTATTTATAATATCACCTGGATGGTTCAATATGAGCTTGGAACAACCTTATTCCCTGGGACATGCCCCCAGACAATGTCTGCTTTCTTAGCCAGTTAGCTCCTAAATATGTTTGTGTGGTTAACAGGAAGATGGACAATTTGTACGCACTTGGAGCACAGATTAGAACCCTTAAATATAAAGGAGAGCACAGCTTATGCTTTTGAAAAACATTTTAAGTCTTAACAAAGGAAAGAGTTAATGGTGTGTAGAAATTAGTAATGTAAGTTTTTTTAATACTCTGTGATAATTGGTCCTTATCTTTTATTCAGAGCTAACTTCTTTTTATTACTATTCAATCATGATGTGTCTTTTCTGATTGTGCTTTATTCATTCTGCTGCAAAACAGGCTCACCTGATAAAAGATACTGAACAGTGAGAGAATAATGAGCTCCATTTGTATTTTTCAGGATACCATTGAGAGAAAGTTGACTTGCTAAATTCCCATAATAGCTGGCTGGAGTTGCCTACTGACATAGATGACTTCCCTCCCCTCTCCCCTAGACTAAGCAAGGAATTTTTCTTTAAGTTCTCAAATTTTCAGATGTTGTCTATTAATTTAATTTTTGGTATCAGAGTAATTTGGCCAAGGATCACAACTGCAGACCAAGCCGTGGTATGTGTGTGTGTGTCTGTAGTATTTTAAAATATGTAAATTTGAATTCTCAGGCTGGTACTAATTCTCTAATTCATCACGGTTGTCATCCTCTCTGAGGCCTTTACCTGAACATGCTTTGCACGGTTGAGTTACCTGCAGGGATTCTGATGGTATTTTTGCTTGATACCCCCAATGTGGACCAACTATCTATGTTACATTAGAAAAACTGGAGTGTATGAAGCCATTGGCAAACTAACCTATTTCTGGAGTGTGAATGAGGAGGGTAGGGAGAGAAATAAACAACATCATTGAGGAATTATAGGGGCGTGAAGATGGGACTGTGGAGAATGGAAAGTGGAGACTAAAGCTGGCCTCAAGTTTGTAAGATGCTATCATGTAGACAAAGTATGGGGCTTAAACATATCTCTTTGGAAGTACAAAACTGAAGTCAGTGGTGCAAGTAGAAAGGAAGTAGATTTAGGTTCAGCATAAGAGACTTCTTATTGACATTGTAAATTGTTCAAAATAGAATGGGCTTCTTGGAAAGCAATGTATTCCTTATCATTGGAAGCGTTTACTCATTCTGTGGCAACCATTTTCATTGGATATGAATAGCACATTGCATATTGATCACAGTTGTTGTTTTTGAAAATATATACTGAAGAGAGAATTTAAGTATCTTGAATTAGATGACCTCTAATTTTATGCTTAGAGGGGCCTTCCAGATAGAGGCTTGATGGAACTCAGGAAAATAATAAAAAAACACTACATCTATTATCTTCTGCTACAAACTCTTACATTAATCATTGGATCATAGCAAAACTAAAAAAGTTTCATGTACACATACACCCTCCCCCCCACTCCAGGATGAGCATAGCTTCAAAAGTGTAATAGAGAATAACATTCCATTTGCATTCTTTCCTGAGAGATAACCCTGCAGATTGAGAGTTTCCCCCTAGGACCATAATTGAGAGTCATGGGAAGGTTTATGCAGTTCTTGCTCATGTCTAGATGCCATTCTTGGAACGCGTGTGTTGCGGAGCCTGGCTGGGTACCAACAGCTCTTTTAATGTAAGAACAAAGAAACCTGGTATTATTGAGTTTCGAGTTACATGCAGAGTGACCAACAAAATCTGTGTGCTTCTTCAAACAGCATGATGTGAAGACATTCCTCTTGGTAAAAAGGAAAAGAAAATGAAAGTATTTTTTTTACTTGCTGATATGTTGGCAGTTGCCATATGTTAGAGAATTTCTGCTGATGATTTTCTCCTGCTGCTGGGGATTTGGTTAAATTCCCAGAAGAACTGAACCACATAAAGTCATCTCTATGGAAACAGCAACCCAATCTTTGCTTGCGTTTGTGATGATTTGCTGTTGAGTAATCAAATTGCGTATAGTGCATTTTTTTTTTTTACATGTGTGTTTATGTGTTGGAGAAGAGGTAGCCTTTTCCTTTTGTGACTTCTAAAAATTGTTTTTGAGTTGTCAATCAAAAAAATTCCTCAAATTCCAGTGTCTGAAATATTGTTCAGGGTGTTTTTATGTCAGGGATTGGATTCTCAACGTGATCCAAAATAGGAGTTAGGATTTTAGAAAATGAAGTCTCAGGCTCGACGAGATGCATGTGCTGAGGAAAGAGGCTTTTATCCTAGACAAGATTCTTAAAGGTTAATAACTGAGTTCTGAAAACAAGCAGACAGCATGTATATTATAGCCTTCCTTATATATATATATATATAGACAATGAAAGAAATATTTTTGCAGTTGGTATGCAATTAAAATTGTAGTTGCTAGAATTTTATGCTGAATTTAAATGTCCTTTTAGACATTTCTTCCTGTAGTGTGAGCTATTAAAAAGTAAAAGCAGGGTGTTAATTGCATCATGTTGCCTCTCTACACTGGGAGTTGGAAAGTTCCAGAGCTCTAGGGATTCTTCACTGGGTCTTCCACAAAGCATGGTGGGGAAAGAGGTGATGTTCATCTCAGCTCAGTTGTACTCTGTGCTCTTCCTTTCTTTCGTGAAAGGCTTTTTGGCCCCTGACTTATGCCCATGGGATAACAAGTCACAGGGTATGTCTCTACATACCTATGGACAACACGCACTACCTGCTGACAATGTGGAGACAATGTCACTTCTACTTGCTCGATGAATGGAGTAACCATTCCTGGGATGCTGAAAAGCTGCATGTCAGCTACTAAGACTAACACAATTTATGTAAATAAATTGCCAAGTAAAAGTATAGCAAAAATGTATCTGGGAGTCATGTGGATAAAAAGCAGAATAAAAACAGTGTTAATGAAGAGACCAGCTAGAGCATGCATGATTTCTGAGGAAAGTGACATAAATGAGCCAGATTTTAGGCTTTAACAAATATTAGCAAAAGTTGTACCCAGTCTGAGTGTGAACTGTACAGATGCTACATTATTTTAGCTAGCTACTTGGAGTGTTGCTGTAGGAACTGTGTGGTGTGTCTCCTCGGGAAGCAGGTAGAGAATAAGAAAGTAAGTCCAATGCTGGACTGGCTGAGTACCTAGCATGCGCGTTGTGCTAAAATGAATGCAAAGATGAGAAAGACACAATCTGTGGACTAAAAAACCTCAACACCGAATGAGGCGAGTGGGAAGAATTAGACACATTTAACAAAAGAAAGTGGAATAAAACAGGTGCCACAAGAGAGATGTAAAGAGAGTACTCCAGGGATTTAAAAGAGAGCAGGAACTGAAGACAAGATCACATCTAAGTGGGAGGATCTGTGCGTGGAGAGGGGAGCGGTGGGAAAAGGGGATGGAAAGGAAATTTGGCCAGTGTTGAATAATGGGCAAAGCGTTAGTTAATTTCAACAGATAATGGATGACTATTTTCAATCAGGATAATAATATAATTGGAATGATGCTTTAGAAAAATTGTTTTAGCTTTAGAATGTAGGGTAGAATAGAACAAGGGGAGACAGGAAATAAGAAGATTTAGGGAGCTTCTGTGAAAGCTGAGGTGGCAGTGGGAACAGGAAGGAAAGGAAAGAAGGATTTCGTAGCATGCATGTCAGGGTGAAGACACATCTTGGTCTCTGTACCTCTTAATACTTACTGTATGCCCTGGAATATTTCCTAGTAATCCTATTTTTTGAGCTGTAATTTGAGAAGTGATCTGAAACTGGGAATACATATTTAATATTGGGAAAATCTTGTATGTATATTTGTTGGCCTCAATGACATTGGTGTCAGATGTGGATACTCACCACCTGCTCTCACTGCTCCTGTGTCAAGTGGCCAGTGAGCCCTCTACGTTTTCATAAAGTTATGCCGATGGTGTTACCTGCACATTTGTGCAATATTACCAGGTCCTTTGTGGTACTCAAACTTTCAATCTCTGTTTTTTCTTCTGACTTCCTTTAACTTTTCCTGAGGCCAGGAGTTAGCAGTGGGAAGTCACTGGGGCAAGGGTTTTGAAGATGGTGACAAGTGTAAACTGGACTTTTGAGGCACGTAAGCTTAGAGTGGCAATGACAGTTTGAAAAAAGTAACAGGGGTTAAGGAGTTGGAGGACACAGCTAAAGATAAAAGACATAGAGTTTCAAAAGACAGAGAATGTGAATAAGTTAAAAGAGGAATCAAGTACTTGGAAAGCCATAAATGTAGAGGTGAAGATTTTAGATGTAAAATGGTTTTAAGAGTTGAGGAGGGGGTGGGTATTAAAAATTATCTGCCCTGAGTATCAAGTACCCTGGGTACACCATGTGCATGGCCACAGAATTCCTGCCCAGAACACCACATTTATTCCAGAAGGAAACTGCATCTGTCATGACAAAAATAAGTCTTTGAAGTCTGTCATGTTAGGCATGCATCCCTTTTAATGCTGTGCTGCCTAAATTATGTTTTATCAACAGTTTTTTTGAGCACTTTTTGTTTGTATA